TGTAAACAGTTCAACCTGGGTAAGACCTTGACCAAAATATGGCCACTAGCCAGGTTATAGTCAGATCCCGTGAATGCAGTATTACATTAAATGATATCCCCGATTTTGGTTGGTTTCAGGTTTTTCACCTGACCAAAAAGGGTTTTTAAATTTTGCACATGAGCCCGAATCCAAGTTCCTGTCACGTCTCACATACCTTGCAGCTTTTCTCCCATTTACTTATTTTGTTAAAAATGCAGTTTTCCACGTGTGTGTGTGTGTGCACGTGTGTGTGTGTGTGTATGCGCGTGCGTGCGTGTGCACGGAGCCTAATTAAACCATGGCAGCCATATGTGTTAATGAGCTCCCTCATTAGGCAGTAGCTCTCCTCGTTAGGGGGAGAGGCGTCGCTAGCGGTGGAGAGACAGAGCGGCTCTTTCTCAAGCTCCTGCTGAGCTTCGCTGTCCCGCTCAATGTAGAGGGGGATTATCCTAGTGGAGGGTTAGCGAGGAGAGAGAGGAGAAACATATTTCATTCGTTTGATTTATTAAATGCCCTTAAAAAAAATTAACATGCATATTGTTTTCTTTAGCTCATGGGAATACATTTTTGAAACCTTTTGCAAAACGTTAGCAAAGGATCATGCGGTTCAGTTTTAACTGCATAAATGGTGATTAAAGGCTTGTTTAAGCTAAACGTGTGTAACGACGGAGTGGACAGCTGATAGTGTGTGTGAAATCAAAATGTTTTGATCTGCTCACCTGCTGATCCACGTGAGTTTTATCAGGTCCTGACAAATGACTTTCTTGCCGGGGTTTATTTAGCTTAACTGCACTGAATTAACTTCGGTGATGAATGGTGTGGAAAAGTAGCCTGCCTAGTGCTGCATAGGTCTTGTGCTGACTGGCACCTGAACAGGGTTGGAGACTCCGTCAATGTCTTGGGGTGTTTGTCATGTTCCTTTCTTAAGCACATTTTGTTGGGACCCTGGCCAGAACCTAAAGTTTTCAACAGAAGATTATGAATATAACAAGATGATCCAGCTTTTATTCACCTTTATTTTAATATCTGTAGCTGGTTGGTCCCTAAACACTCATAGCATATGTGTGTTTGTTGACTATATATGCAGCCCAGGCTATGTTGCACTGTGTTGTGTGTGAGAACCTGTTGCTTTTGCCCATGGTCTGGGTGTATGGCTGACAACTGACTTGTTTCTTCTCCTCTGTTTCCCGTCAGGCTCCCTCTCCTGCAGAGACAAAAGCGGCTCGTCCTGCCTGTCCACAGTCTCGTGTGTCTCGCTGCCTTCGGCCTGGCTCTGCCGCTTGCCATCAGTTTGTTTCCACAGATGTCGCAGGTACTTCATGCCCAATTCTTTTTCTCTTAAGGAGCATGCAGTTGGAGACATAATTATTTGATCCCCTGCTAAATTTGTAAGTTTGCTCACAAAGAAGTGAACAGGCTAATCTTTATGGTCGTTTTATTTTAATTGAGAGAGACGAACTATCAACCAGAGTCACTTGCTTGTTGCCTTGGGGGTATGTTTTGAGGTCTGATGGAAGATCCATCCATGACCCAATTTAATTTTAGTGTTCTGGGCCGAGAGAAGGAGGTTCTCAGGCAAGATTTTACGGTACTGAGGAGGTCGTCTTGTAAACTACGCAGAAAAATAGCCCCAAAGCATAATGTTTCCACCTTGACTGTGGGGATGATGTTCTTTGGGTCATACTCTGCATTGCTCTTCCTCCAAAGACGGAAGGTTGAGTTGATGCCACAGAGCTTGATTTTGATTTGACCTGACCACAGCACTTTCTCCCAAGCCTTCTCTGAATCATTTAGATGTTCACTGGCTTGTGCATGTGCCTTTGTAAGCAGGGAGACTTTTTGGAACTGTGTTATCAATGGTGTTCTTGGTGACCGTGGTCCCAACTGCCTTCAGATCATTAACAACCTCCTCTGGTGTAGTTTTGTGCTGATCCACCACCGTTCTCATGATCATCCTCATCCTATGAGCCAAGATCTTGCATGGAGCTCCAAACCGAGACTGACTGATGGTCATTTTATATTCCTTCCACTGATATTCTCTCTGCATTAAAATGAAAATACCATAAAAAAGACAGTTAGTTTATTTTGAAGTGAGCATACTTACAAGTTCATCAGGAGATCAAATAATCATTTCCCCCGCTGTAATTTTTCAACATTGAATAAAACAGAGCATAAGCAGGACTTTATATTGGGTCTTCTAAAATTGCAGATATGCTGGACGTGTGTTCGAGCATATGTGTCTAAATTATGAATGTTTGAGTCTCTGCGGTGGCACAGTTTTTGTTCTCCTGCCTAATGCTCGGATGCTCATGCTCAGTCCTGAGATTTTGTTCATTGCAAACACAGAGCTGCAAATGTAAAGCCTCAGGTTGAATGATGATGTCGGTGACCAGCGTCTCCTGACCTCTCCAGTATTTCCCATTGAGCTGTGCAGCAGCGCTGTCCTAATGAGGCGCAGCCCTCTGAGACTCAACCTGCTCTGTTATGATCTGCCCAGAGCCACCATTGCCTATATTCACCGCCACTGATGCCATCCAGACTAGCGGGCTGAGATCTAACTTTAGCCTTATTGCCTCAGTATGTATCATTCTACTCATTAAACGGCAATGGCACAATTATGTTTTTCCACTCCATCTCCCTCTCTCTTTGTCTCCTCTCTGCCAAATGACTTGCTGACACAAGCCAACCAGCTCTGGCTTTAAAATGTTTAGGATTTAATTACCACTTGAAATAGCTCAGACAGCCATATGGCAAAAAACTTCAGACATATGTGCCGCCAACAGTCCTGTGAAAAGCTGCCTCCAGTTCCACAGAGGGGCCTGGTTTTTTTTTTCTTCTCACAAGTCCTTTTTGCACTTTCACAAGGATAGCAGATGAAAAAAAAGGGAAAAAAAAGATCTCCCCAAAAAGCAACATGAATGCCCCACTCTCTTGGACCCCCCGCCTACTCAATTTGTCCCACTTCCCCATTTCACACCTACCAAGATGTCTGATTAGGATTCTGCCTCCAACTCCAACAGCCATCTGTCTCTGGTTCAAATATTAGGTGATGCAAACCTCAAATTAGACTTTAATCTGGCAAATTGGCTCTTTTTGCACATTAGCAGTAAATACAGAACATTTAAAGCCTTTGAGAATTACAGTCAGTTTCCAGTCTCCATGCAGCGGTTCGTGTCGGCGATATACGGTTGCATATACAGCAGGCACATACTGTATCGAAGCTGTTATATCTGACGATTTGTGCGAAATATTTCCATTTGCACTACTGACCTTTTCTGACCTGCTTTGGTTTCCCACAGATCAGTGTAGATCAGCTGGAGCCAGAGATCGCCATGGCAACCGACTGTAAGATTGTGACATACAATAAAGGACTTTGAGTGATCGCTACCAAAACTGAAATGTGAAGAAAGGACGCGCAGCCCGTCGTGGCTCGAGCCGCCCCGACGCTGCCAGGGAATGAATTGTGTCAAATTTGGCTGCTGCTGCAGTGGCTTTAGCACACGTTTGGACAACAACAGCTGATGCGAAGAATCAGCAGCAACAGTGATAAGAAAATATGTATCACAACATGAGGAGACAAAGCCAAACAAGTGCATTTTGAGGGTAACAGCCCAGTTAGGTTGATTAATTAGGTTAACAAAACCCATAAGCTTGCTTGGTTCCTTGAGGCTTTTTCCACAACGAGCAGACCGCTAACCATAGATCAATATAAAAAGATGGGCAAATTAAAATGTCTGGACAAATAAATGTGTAAGCTGTGAATGAAATGAAGATACAAATGCTTCCCGCCTTTTTTTTTGTTTTTGACCCTTCAATATGAGTCACTTCCTGTGACCCAAGGCGATGTATGTCTATAACCTGGAAGTATTTCAATCAAAGTGGAAATAAGAAAGCAGCCAAGATCAATCTTTTTGTGATTGTGATCACTCTTTTGGGTGCTGTGACTCACGTTCGCAACTACTGATTTATGTATTTTTAAAGTAGCTCTGCTGTGAATTGCGTTTCTCTGGTGTCTGCACAACAAATATATACACAGCCTGATTGTGTTTGTTTAAGTTTCCTTGCATCTCAATGAGCCAAGTCTTCCCTGTGACCACTATCAGCTTTAAATTCCTCCAGTGAAAGAGTGACACAGTTTCTAACCACCATGGCAGATAATGAAAAAGTTGCAGTTTTGGTTCAGAGTGAAAGCCAGAACATTATAATTAAGCAAATATTGCAAAAGCATAAATAAATACACACTGTTAACATTTAATTGTGACATTTTATTTCCAAATTGTTTCTTTTATTGGTTTTATAACCAGGGACTTCTCTCTCGCTCTCTCTCTTTTTGTGTACATATTCATGCTCGATTTATCTAAACATTCTTAAAGTATTAAGATGGTTTGCTGTGATGTGTGTGATTAGTATGTTTGCCCGGTTGCTGGGGGAACACAGCACAGTAGGCTGCACTCCAGCGTAATTCAACAAGAAGCCACATGCAGGATCAGTGGAGGTTGCTGGGTGTGAGTTATGGCACACAACCAGGGTGAGATGAATAAATGGAAACAAAACCCCATTCATAACGACGCACATCTCTCACCAAGTTATTGTCATCAGATTTAGTTCTGGCCTGTTAACTGTAATGTCATCTGATGTTACAAAGGACCATGTTGTAGCTTTTGAGCTAGTAATTTAAATTGTAATCCACAGTGGATTTATCAGCATCTGTCTGATTAATCCAGGCGGGGGGTGTGGTTGGGTATCAATTGTGTGTCTCTTGTAGGTGAGTATATGAAACCTTTGAGCAAGATTATAAACTGGTAATCAAAAGTTATTGGTTTTTTTTTTAACAGAACTTGAACGATATTGATATTTGTTGGTTGATATTTGCGCATCACAAAGCTGTGGAAAACATATGTTGCAGAAAATGTCATGAATTTTTATTATTATTATTTTTTTAAGAAGGCCACAATTCATTAAAACCATGTGATTTGAGAAATTGTGCCATAGTTTGCCCAGTAGAGTGGCTCCACCGCCATAGCTTATCCAACAACTGAGACGTTTATAATGCAGGATCAAGGCGTCCCATCACCCGAAGCTGCTTACTAGCTTTGTAATATCTCACTGAAATTCAGTAAATTTATTTTATTATTATTTTTTTAATTTAACATTAAAATAAAAACAATAAAATAGCCACAAAATAA